CAGCTTTATATGAATCATAATTCAGAGAGAATCCAAGCAGCTGCTCTTCTGAACCTTGATCTCACACAGTGTAGATAAGCCATCATCATACTCTCAACAGCCACATTTTCCCATTGCAGGTGTATGATATAAAATTCAAAAGGAACAAAACGTAGTGTGAAACTCTCTTTTTACTTCCCTGGCTCAGTTCCCATACCTTCAACACCCCTCCTCCAGGCAACTGTTATTATCAGTGTCAAATGTATCAATCCCAAACAAGTTTGTGCCTGTTCAAGTAAATGCAGATTATATATATGTATATATATGTATATGTATATATATGTGTATATATATATCCTCCCTACCCCATCCCTTTTACAAGTCATAGTTTTTGAGCCTTGCTTTTTTACTCAATATATCTTAGAGAAATAGTATATCAGTACCTACTGTTCTTTTGAATGGATTAGTAATACTCAACTGTATAGATGCACATATATTATTTAAATAACCTCCTATTGATGTACCTTACATTGTGTCCAGTATTATGCTCTTACCAACAGATCTGCAAGTATTTTCTGAGTTACATATTATTGCATACACATTGTGAATGATCTGTAAGATAAATTCCTTAAAGTGGAATTGTTGGGTCAAAGGATATGTCCATTTCCAAATTGATATCTGTTGTCTATTCCCCAAAGTGAGCATATAAATTAACAGTCTACAAACAATAGATGAGTGCTTGTTTCCCAACAGCCTCTTGACAAAGTCTATTGTTAAACATTTTGGTTTTTGCAAATTTGTTAACTGGCATATTTTATTGTGAGGTTAAGTATCTGTTTGTGTTGAAAGTCCACTTGTATTTCCTTTCCTTTTCTAGAACTATTTGTTCATGTCCGCTACCCATTCTTCTGTTAGATTAGTGACCTATTGATTGGTGTAAGCTCTTTATATTTTATGGAAAGTAGTCTCTTTCCTGCCATATATATTGCTTTTTTTTAAGCTTGCTATTTAACCTTTCATTTTGTTTATGGGATCTTTTTTTTTTCTTTTTACTTTGTCTTGTTTATTTTTGCCAAGAACATGACTCTTTTCTCTTTTTTCATCCTTAATATATTCAGTCTTAAAATTTATTCCTGATGGAAAGGGAGAATGAACAGAGCATTCATAGTGATGAAATGCAGGTGACTAAATAAGCACATAAAAAGTTCAACCTCACAAATAAAAAATGCAAATTAGGTTTTATATTTTACTCCAGCAAATTAGCAAAGGTAGAGTGAATCCAGTTTTGCTATAATCTGTTGGCAGGAGTGCCAATTAATCCATACATTTGGGAAGCAAATTCTCAGTAAGTAGTAAGAACTCTGAAAAAAAAAAAGCTTTATGCACTCATGGTATGTCGAGGAATTTATCCTAGGGTTAAAACCATCAAGATGGACAAAGATTAATGCATAGAGATGTACTTCAACACAGCACTGTTTTACCAGGAGAATTGATGGCAATTTGAAAGCTGTTGTCCGACAAGTAAATCACGGTGTATCCATACCAACTAAGGCCACACAGCTACAAAAATGAAGCTTAGAGCTATTAAGGCCTGGGAAGATTCTCACACTATTATATTAAAGACATGTTACAAAATTGCTTAGTCAGTGAGAGCTCAAATGCATAAAAATATATGGAAAACTAGAAAGAAATATGTCAAAGCAGTGGTTACTTGAGTTTAGAGAGATTATGCACGGTATTTTTCTTTTATGTGGATTCTCAAATTTTATAATGTACATGTATTATATAGTCTGCTAAAAATCAAAGTCAAAATTAGCACATACTCAAAAAATGTAAACATATTTCTAGAATTTACTTTCTTTCTTTATCTCTTTCTACTGTGACCATAGGCCTTCATATGCTTTTTCTTGTTTCACATTGGTATTATTGTAACGATCTCTATGACCCAGTCATTTTTCCTCCTCTGGTGTCCTCCAGTATTCTGTTAGATTACTTGAAAACATTGTCTATCATTACTCAAGACCCCACAGCAGCTTCCTGTTCCCTATTGCATGATGTTTAAATTACTCAAACTAGTACACCAGCCCTTTATAATTTGGCCCCACTCTACTGAAATCATGCAAGTGTATTTCCTTCTATTTCCAGGAAAGCTCGGTACCCTAGCTAGAGTGCCCTGGTTATTACTTGCCCCACCCCATGCCCTTTCTTTGACCCTGTTCATTCTGTTCACTGTTCTTGTAACTGCCTTCCTCATGCTCCCTTTGTCCCCAAATCTTACTCATTCTCAGGAGGTTCCATCTCCTCCATGTCAACCTTTCCCCTCATCCTTGGCTGAACTCTCAAAGCACATCCTTTAATCACGGCCTCAATCGAAGGCTCCACAGCTCTGCCATCATTGCTTGTGTGTGAATATTGGCTTCCTAACTGTTTTGAAGGCTCTGTGAAGGCAGGCCACACTAATCAGAACCTTCTTTTCTCTTCCCACTCGGTTTCTGCTCATTGCTAAGCAGAGGGTAAGGCCTGGCTGACTGGTGAGGAGGCTGCTGTGATGAGCAGCTTCTTGGGCAGGGTCTTCTGTTCCTGCCTGGACACCTGACTTCTGAGGAGGCCCTGCCCAGTGGCAGAAGCAAGTTAGAGGAAGCCCCAGTGGGGAGCTCTTGGGGGGAGCATTGAGGGAACTTTAAAAATATGGCTGTTTGTTCTCCCCCTGCCCCTCCCCACAGCTGAGGTTTAGAATTTAACTGGCCCAAGGTGGGACCAGCATTGATATATTTTCATAAGCTCCCTAGCTGGTTCTGATGGCTTCACTACCAAGCCTTACTCCTTTTGAGCCCCAGCCCTTTTGGCATGCACGCATTCCGGCACTTTTCTGTCTTGTTTCCAGGCAGGAAGTCATCCTAGAACTGGCCAGAGACTCCAAAGAGAGGCAGTCTTTAGATAAATCCTTTGGCATCAGTGAGAGCCTTTGTTGTTTTTCAAAGGTGTTTGCTTTCAAATTGACAACTGTCTGCAGTGGAGCCTGCTCTGAGGATTGCCGTGCCTGCGCTGCCTTCCAGTCTAGGCTGTAGATAAGCTCATGGGCAGACAGACCAGACCAGGGCTAAAATAAACTCAGACACCCCCAAACAGAACACTGCTGTTACACAGTACAGCAGGGTGATTAAAGCAGCCTGTTTCATATGGAAATGCAGTACGTTACTTGTGTGGCAAAGTGAGAACAAAATGTCCAAGAAAAGAGAAAAAATATGGACAGATCAGAAAACCTTAACCATTATAAAAGTTTTTCTAATGTATCAGTACGTAGCTCCCTTTTTATATAAGAACAAAACAACAGCAGCAGTAATAATAATGACGAACAACTTTTAGCACTAACTGTGCACCAGGTACTCAATCTACAGGTTCTCTCTGGATTGATTCAATTAATCTGACAACCCTACAAGATAGCTGCTGGTATTACCCTTGTTTTCTAAATGAGGAGATTGAGCACTGCATTACTAAAGAATTTGCTAGCTGGTAAGTGGCAGAGCCAGGATTAGAAGACGTTCGGGGCTTCTGTTCTTCACAACTTACCAGGGCTAATTCTTAGTTCAAAGGAAAATTCGATTTTTTTTTGAAAATCCAAGGTTTCTCAAATATCCGAGTACCCATTAAATATTTTCCATTATCTTAAGTTTTATAATCTTCAGTGGAAATTATTTCAAAGTATCCTGTAGACATCACTGCTTCCTTCAAGGACACTGAACACAATTTAACTTTTACTTAAAGCCTCCCTGTTAGCATCATAGACATTAATTTGGGGGGAGGCTAGGTGGAGCCTGACACTCTCAGGCTTTTTAAGGTTTAGAGTTAGGTCGCTCTGATCCACGCACTGGACAATTGCGGTGTCTGTCTCCCCCGAAGCCCCTCCTACAGGTGACTGGCTGCTAATAGTCCCTGCTGAGGCATTGGCCCCGACAGCTGTGTTCTGATCTAAGCAAACTTGAGGCATCTCAGCCACAGCAGATGACGCGAAGCAGACCCCTGACCTCAGCCGCCCTGTTCTGGACCGGCCAGCAGTCTACTATATGAACCAGTGGGCAAAATTTAGCTAGAAATGGGCACGATGGTCCAGATTCTCCCTTCGGGGGGTTTGCCCTGGGAAGTACCGGTTTGCAATGGGAGCTAAAAGAGTGTATAGAGAGAGCCCATGAGGTAGAGCAAGCAAAAGTGACAGGAAGCAGGTAGCAGTCCTGAAGAGGGGCTGTGAGGTGGGAAAGAATACCCAGCTGGCTATGGAGATGAGTGCAGAGGGCGTGGCCAAGGTGGAGATGAGGGGACTGCCACATTCAGGCCCACCCAAAGACTTTGGCTTTCCTGACCATATGAAAGCACCTTGCTGTGCAAACAAACAACAAAACTGAGTGTGCTGATTGTGACAAGAGCTGGCAGTTTACAAATTCCAAAGAGAGGATGAGGAAGCCAGATAGGGTCAAGCAGAGAGGCCGAAAGACCCCTGGGCGCAGCCAGAGGAGAGCTGAATCACATAAATGAACTCATCGGTAGGTGATGATGCACGAACTCCTGATGCTGAAGTCCCGGGTAACGTGGATTCTTCCTGGCGTCCTGGGTCCAGTCTTCCTCAGGTCTGGCTCCACTACACGCCTGTTCTTCCAGAGGCTTGGTGATTTGGCTTTTCGTGGTTCCCACGAGGCCCTGTGGGGCTGAGATCCTTGTGTATGTGTGTTTTTTTTTAATTCCTTGGAACTCCTTCCCCTAATATTAGATGTAACTTGAGCTGTTCCTCGGAACAAAAAGAGCCTATTAATTTTTGTTGTCCTATTTTTAGTTTTTCTGTTTCTTCCTTTGCTGCTAGGCTGTCAACCATCACTTTTTATTGCTGTAGTTGGCTTGCTTCTAGCCATTCTCTCTTTGTCATTAAGGCTACTTGTAGACAGGGCACTAGATCCACTAGCTTGGTGGGGCTAAAAAAAGTCAAGTAAAAGTAAACAGGTAACAGGAAGGCCGAATTTTATAGCGTGCGACTATCTCAGTATAGCTGTGATAAAAATTAAATAAGCACTGAGAGTGTTTTAGTGTCACATGAGCTTTACGATATAGTGTTTGGAAATGCACTTTGACTGTGCAGATGTCTTTCTTGCTTACTTACGTTTGGTTCCAGTCCAGTTAGTGAGGGTCTTCCTAAAGTATCCCTTGGTTCTGAGGAACCACAACCCACGAGCCAGCAGTGTAAAGGAAACAAGATTTATTTTAAGACGTTATGCAGAACTCAACCGAGGAAAGTAAGCACGTAAGACAGCCTCTCTCTCCCCGATGCTGTCTCTCCATCTTTCCCTCTCTCCCTGGAGTTTCCTGGTTTCCTAACCTCACCTTGTCCTTGTTTCACATCTGCTGCACATTCCTCTCTGCAGATTATTCTGCTTCTCCGTCAGGCTTTTAGTTTCTTTTTCCTCCTAACACTGCCTTGCACGCGGCTTTGGGGCTGCCATGCTGCTGATTTTGGCAACTCTTCATGACCTCGCATCTTTAATGCCAACGCCTTCCGATTCAGCCTCTCTGTGTCCGAGAATACGATTGACCCATTTTGAGCCGTGTGTCTGTCTGCCCTGATCAAATGGGATGGTCAGAGAGCAGCGCCGGGCCCCCACTCCTAAAGGAACGCCCTTCCGGCCTGCAGGCAGCGCTCTCAGGAGAGTGTGGCAGGGAGGAAGTGACTGGCATTTCAACTAGAGTGAAATTTCTAAATTTCTGAGCTCTGATAGGTGCTGTGTTATTACACATTTACTCTTCCTCTTTGTTATTTGCCGTACAGCACTTACAGTCCCTGCTAACAATAAACAAATTGTTCCTTGGTGCTATCACCAATCACCATCTAGTCTAGTCAGTAGTCATTATTTTGGTTTTCATATATGTACAAATACAAAAACATATTAAAGGTAGGTCTCCCCTTCAGTATTTTTCTGTTGTCTCTCAGGATCCTGTTACTCACTTATCTTCGTAAAACTGTACTCTGGGTTAAACCAACATGCAAATTCATTTTTAACAACAGAGCTAAAAGTTGTTAATATTTCAGTAAAAACCACTTTAAACACCACATTGCATCTACACAGGGATGCTTTCCTGACCAACAACTTGTCACAAATGCCGGGGTGACTTTACAGTTTGTCTAAAACCACTACTTTCTACCATGTTCTTTTCACAAAAGTATGAAATAATTATGAGTCAACCATGGGTGGAAGCATTTGTTATTAGTTTTTCAAAAGATGCCAAGTGCTAGAGGAAATTTTTCTCCTAGGCCAAGAACAGTTCTATTTTAAAAACAATAAAATGCAAATTAAACATTTCTTCATGTTTTAGTCTAGCATTTGAATGGTACTAAACAGTTTTCAAGACGTTTTCTCATGCCTGATTGAATTTAATGTTCAAAATAAAGTTCTGGTGTTACTAGTATCATTTTATAGCTGGAAAACGAGCTCAGAGAAGTTATTTGACTTATTCAAATCACGGTGCTTTGTGCTTCAGATAAAAACTAAAGTCGTTTTACTCTAAATCTTGTGGTTTTGCATGACACTTTGCTCTTTCCTTACTTTATCCCTACGACTTTTGTGGGGAAGAGAGGCATTAGTATAAGTATTTCAAAATCCGCAAATTCTCAGTATACAGTCCTCGGGATAATCCTGATTTGTTTTTCTAACTCCAAGGCCCATACATGGATAATACTATAACAAAACTACCGCCTACTTATTTATGAAAAATTAAAAGTGATAGATTGAGGGTTACCACAGCCTAGTACAAAGATTGATCTATCCCTCACAGTTGAAATCACATACAGTATTTTAATTCAATGTAACCTTTTCTAACTCTTTATTTTGTCAGGGACATAACATTAATTAGTGAGATTAAAATAAAATGCAAATCTCTAATGAAACCATTCTTGGACAGAATAACTCTCAATGCCATCTAAAAAGACCAGATTAGTCCTTGAAGTGATTGGTTGTGGTGGTTAAAAGAAGAAATGTTTTCAAAGGAGATAAGTGTGTTTGCTATTTATATGTACGTAGGTCTTACTAACTACCCACGTGTTATTATTGCTAAAGCAGGCAAATAGGTTTTCTGAGGACACCCCACCCCCTTCACCCTTAGCAGTTCAAGTTACTCTAGGTATCCAAAAGTAATAAAAAATTTTAGCTCTTTAAACGTCTCTAATTCAGATTTTTCATTTATTTAGATTTTTCTGTCCACTAAGTCTAAAATGAGCAGAGTTTTGCTGTGTTTATTATTATACAACGGGCAGACATTTGTTGAAATTTAGGTTGTCTGTGTGCACTATTTACTAAATTTTGTTAATATTACATTGGCTGCTTTATTACAGGATTCCCAGGACTGTGTTAAGCAGAGCAATTATAATAGTTTAGAGAGTATGAGCAAGAAACAACCCACATGTAATAAAATATGAAGAAAAAGAGGGCACCTGGAACATGTGAGCTATTTTTATTTCAAATTAATTTTTTTAACTTTATTATTTTTTTAAATTTATCTTTATTGTTGAAAGTATTACAAATGTCGCTTGTTTTTTTCCCCCATTGACCCCCTTCATCCTGTACCCGCCCTCCCCAGGACTTCACCACACTATTGTCTGTGTCCATGGGCTATGCATATATGCACATAAGTTCCCCAGTTAATCTCTCTCCCCCACCCCCACCTTCCCTCTGAAATTTGACAGTCTGTTCCATGTTTCTATGTCGCTGAATCTATTTTGTTCGTCAGTTTATTTTGTTTATTAGATTCCATATATGAGTGAGATCATGTGATACTTATCTTTCTCTGACTGGCTTATTTTGCTTAGCATAGTACTCTCCAGGTCCATCCATGCTGTTGCAAATGGTAAGAGTTCTTTCTTTCTTTCTTTCTTTCTTTTTTTACAGCTGCCTAGTATTTCATTGAGTAAATGTACCACGGTTTTTTAATCCACTCATCTGCTGGTGGGCACTTGGGCTGTTTCTAAACCTCAGCTATGGTAAATTTTGCTGCTATGAACATAGGGGTGCATATGTTCTTTCTGATTGGTGTTTCGGGTCAAATTCTTACTTCTTTATGTTGACTATATTCCTACTCTTTGTTTAAAAGCATTTAGTATCACTTTGGGAAGAAATACAACCTGCACATTTAGCCAGCTATTTAAGGGAAAGGAAAGAGAGCACAGCTGGTGGGCAGAGCTGAAGCGGGGAGAGCTGCAGTTTGAAGCAGAGAGGAAAACAGAGACCCACGTTTCTATCTTTCTATTCTTTCATCTTCTGTGTGAGGATTTCATTTGCAAGGTCCAAGGTGGTCTAATTTGCTGCCAGGCCCGCCGCTATGATGTTTGTGCTACAGGCGGTACGAAGGAATGGGGAGGGAAAGGAGCACCAGCCCCGCATTCCTGTGCTTTTAAAGAGACTAACTGGAGGCCCACAGAACACTTCTATGGTAATTTAGTCACAAATCTACAACTGGACTGGGACATGTAATCCCTTATATCAGGCAGTAATGAGCCCAGTTAAAAATGGAGTCCTGGAAAAATTGCCATTTTGCAACCATCATGGGAAAGACTAATCTGGATAAGCATCACTGGAGAATGTTCAATCCGGGGGGGAAAGTCTGCTGAAGAGAACATTTATATGGTCTTAAAGTATTTCCTCGACGATTGTTTATTGGTCACAGAGGGGGAAGTAAGTATACAGTGGAGAAACCAGACAGCGTCCTGACCCCGTGATGGAGATGGACATAACCAGCAGCAGGAGACGTCATGTGGCCTCCAGATGTGACCTTGTGAAGGACACGAAGTCGCTTCTGTGCTATTCCAGCTGGGAAGACAGAACCTGAATCTAATCATGAGAAGGCACCAGACAAACCAAAATGAAGGAACAGTCCGTAAAAGAACTGACCTATCTATACTTCTAAAAAATTGTCAGTGTCATGAAAGATAATGGAAAGCTGATAAACTATTCCAGATTAAAGGAGGCTGAAGAGACATAACAACTAAATTCAATTCATGATCCTGGACTGCGGCCTACACTGGTAGGAAACAAAATTCTATAGGGGACATTTGACTAAAGTGGTAGGGGTGTTTCGCAGAGAGAATGAATAGGACCTGCTGACTAAGTGTTGAATCTCTTTTCTTCTCTAGATCCTTAGAGCCACTGTCTTAATTCAGGCTCTTAGCATTTCCCCCCTCAGTCTATTTCTAGAACTTTCCAAGTAATTTCACATTGTCTTTCCCTTCCAATCTGTCTGCCATATTGTCACCAGAGTGATTTTTTGAAGCACAAATAGGATTATGCCCTAGTCCCTGTCTTAGTCCATTCAGGCCGCTATAACAAAAATAGAATACACCAGATCAGTGATGGCAAACCTTTTGAGCTGGGCGTGCCAGCATTTTGAAAAACCTTAACTTAACTCTGGTGCCATGTCACATATAGAAACTTTTTGATACAGTCAGGCCTTAACTTACTAGTGTCCCTACTAACGAGTTTTTCGAGATATGAGCCGTCTCTTGGACGATTTTTTGCTTTGAGTTGCGAGCTAAAATTCGGGTTACAAGCCAGCTTCAGATACCCTACCGCTAGTTGGCGCAGCGAACGTCACAGTGAACGCCACAACATCAGCCCAGCATCACGTGTCTCACTTGTTCACTTTAAGATTTGACATACGAGTAATTTGAGTTACGAGCTCCGTCACGGAACAAATTAAACTCGTAAGTCAAGGCCCCCCTGTATTTGCAACCATAGTGAAACAAAGATTTATATTTTTTACATTTATTTTATATATTTAAATGCCATTTAACAAAGAAAAATCAACCAAAAAAATGAGTTCGCGTGTCACCTCTGACATGTGTGTCATAGGTTTGCCATCACTGCACTAGATAACGTAAAACAACAGACATTTATTTCTCACAGTTCTGGAGGCTGGGAAGTCCAAGATCATAGCGCTGGCAGATTTGCTGTCTGGTGAGGACCCACTTCCTCACTGAGGGCCGCCTGTCCTCTGGAATCTCACATGGAGATAGGGGCAAACGAGCTTTCTTGGTCTATTTCACAAGGGCATTAACCCCATTCATGAAGAATGGAACCATATGACCTGATTGCCCTTGGAAGGCTCCACCTCCCAATACCATCACCTTGAGGATTCGGATTTTAACCTATGAATTTGTGGGGACACAAAGATTCAGTCTGTAGCACCCCTAATTAGAAATCCTCTGTGGCTTGCTATTGCCTATTCCTAATCTGCCATACGAGACCCTTCTCTGCACGGATCCAGACTTCCTTGTGGGTCATTTCTTTCTGGCACTCCCCTCTCAAATGGTTCCAGTTATTGATTGGTCCTCCACCTTCAGTAGCTATGACATAACACCCATGATGACATAATGAGGACAAGGATGGGATGGAATAAGCCAGTGGGATAGGCAGTTACTTTAAAGCTTTTACCTAGTTTGAAATATAGGCGTGGCTGTCGTGAAATGACTCCATTCCGATTTTTTCAAAGAAATTAATTTTTCAGAGAAATAAAGAAGTGCCTACTACTTGTGCCAACTCAAGGAAAGGGCAAATGAAGATGGGCTTGTTGGCTGACTTCCATCCTAATATTTCCTGTGAGGTTATTAGATGCTGCCAGCTAAGGATCTCATTAGCTTAGTCCAAACTATTCTATCAACAGCCATTTTCCTCTGTCACAGCTGATGCTGAGAGTCATGTGTCATAAAACGCCATACACTCCCACAAAGTTTAGAACCCTGGCTGAATGATAATAAATCACTGTTGTTCAATCAAGTGAGCCATGGGATTCCCAAGAGAAGTTTCCTTTATATTTTATAGTTATGTGGTAAAAACTCATGATTTTTCCATACCCATGTGGCTTTTCTGCCTATTCCCTATAATTTTTCTAAAACATTATTCCATCTTTCTATTCAATAAAAAAGATCGCTTACCTCATTTGCTCTCAGGACTAAGAAAGACTTGCTCTCAGGACTAAGAAAGTTTCACAGGAATTGTATTTAGCAATGAGATGATAGAATTCTTTTCCTCTGGACTTACCAACTAAGATTACCAGCAGACAGATGCCTCTCTAGAATTCAGGAGAGAGGCCCAGCTATTGTATATTTGTTCCATAGATCAATATCTATACCCAAACTCACATTTTTAAGGCATCAGCTTTAACTGTTGCCAAGCATTCCTTTAAAAGTCAAGGCTCTATTGGTATAATGAACAGTAAGAGAGGATTGAGAGTATAATTGTGAATTGCCTGAGTAATGCTTATTCATTCTGCACCATGTATTCTGTCAAGTAGAATTCCAATTGTGACCATACACCATGCTCATTTCTATGTAGAAGAGAGAATCTATAGCTCTCATAATAGCTCTGTATTTCAGAGGGATGCTGCTACATTATTTTATACCTAATCTGTGTACTTGGTATATCTTGATTTCTGCCTTGCCCTATAAATTACAAAAGTAACTTACCTTATATTCTTGGAGTAGGGGAAGTAATATATCATTTGTGACAACAGCAATTTCTGAGCCACAGATCCACTTAATATAAGTTATTATACTTAGACTCCAAAATCATGCAAGATTCCAGGAAATTTATGGAGAAAATATGAGTTACCCTTTGACATTCCCGGAAAATAATACTGGTTCATCAATGTTGATATAAGTTTCCAAAGACTTGCCAAAAACTTTAAGTGTTAAATGCTCCCACATGCAATAGATTAGTGATCTCGTTTTATAAGTACCGCACTCACCGATTGCACCACTGGAGTTCCTAGTGATCACTTATTAATGGGACAGATGATATCTGCTCTACCCATCTCACAGGCTTGTGAGAATCTTATGAAGTAATTTATAGGAAAAAGTATAAAGTGTTATTTTAATATTAAATATTATTAAAAATAATAGTTTCTTTTTATTAAATTTATTGGGCTGACATTTGTTAATAAGATTGTATAGGTTTCAAGTGTACAATTCTGTGATACGTGTCTGTATCTTGGATTGTGTGCCCATCACCGAAAGTCAAGTCATATTTCTACTGCTCCTGATTGACTCAGGTGTGGTCCTGAAGACCATTCCTGTCCAGGGTAAAATGGACTGGCTCCGTGCTTCCGAATGTGGAGCTTCTACCCCATGTGAAAAGGCAAACTGGGAACTAGGCCACCGATCTGGAAGCCCAAAGAAATAAATAAATGTTTCCAATGGTAACTGGGGCATAAACATCTTTGTGAATTGATATGGAAGGAGATCCGTCCTGTCAGTGCCCCAGTTAACACTCTTGTGATGGTCTGTTCTGACTCCGACTGTTCTTGAAGTGGTGCAAGTCTATCCACAGGCCTTTCTTTTCCCTGATTGTCTTCTCTTCCCATGAGCCCCTTTGTTGCTGGCTGATAAATTATGTCTCAATGTCGCTGTTGGCCTTTTGGCAGCTCTGCCTGCAATTTTTAATAAACAACGAG